GCGGCGAAAGTGGAGGACGCAGTGCGAATATCTGTCAGCGCAAGCTCAAATTTGCTATCGGCTACAGTTTGCTACGGCGACAGTGGTGAGTTACAGCGGTTCTTTTTCTCTAGCTACGATGCAGGGAAAGCTAGAATCCACCTTATTTAGACACATTTGTAGAACGGGTCGACATGCCCAAGTGTAGACCGGAGACCGTAGAAATCCGGTGGGTCTGAGTTTAGAGGGAAACATGGACAGTGAGGAGCAGCTAAAAGTGGACCAACAGCTTATGGACTGCTTCGGTGTGTATTAGGACCTGCTGGGTCGTGTGCATAGCTGTGGTGTGTTGTTAGCGTGGAGAAACGAACAGCTTTCGCGCTGGTATATGACGGAGGGGCTCCAGGCTAAAACGGCCTTTTTCGAAATTGCCCGTGGTAATGGTTTACTTATTGCTTCGGAATGACTAGCTTTTCCTCACGGAAAATGGGCGCGTTATGGATAGTACGCTACAGCTAGAGAGAGCTCGGTTATGTTATGAACATAATACAGGCTTTACAGACCGTAAGTTCCGTCTGCGTGAACCATTGCTTATGTAGAGCTAGTGAATCGATCACTTTTACAGGAAATAATTTAATATTCAGTCGCCGATTTAATATTCAATCGACAGCAATGCAGATAAATCGTTTGTGATACCATACACGTTATAGCCTGTGCTTTTTCCCTATCGCTTTCACCGTAGCATCAGAGAGCTTGCTCAGACATTGGGGATGTATCAGGCTGACCTCGGTCATGGATAAGTAAAGCGATCGTTTCATAAGCACCCAAAAACTCACCCCAAGCTTTGCAAAACCTACGTCTGGTCTAACTGCAGCCCAACTCGGCAGACACATACAGCACCTCTCCGGTTAGCTTCAACTGTAGTGGCTACAATCAGGCAACGTTATGATGAAACTGTCACATTGATGCTTACCGGTAACACAAGCATACCGATCAGAATCGCTGCATATAAGTTAACCAGGAGCGTTTTTAATTAGCAGAGCAGGGGAACTAACATGAAGTAGCTGATAAGTGGTCATGACTTTGAATGTAATCTGTCGCGAAAAAATTTGTTTCGCGTCCGTGTGAAAGCGGCTTGACATGCCCGTATTTGCGTCTTTGCATTGACTTTGAATGTAATCTGTCGCCGAAAAAATTCGTTTCGTGTCCGATGTGAAAGCAGCTTTATGGATAGTCGCGACAGCGAGAGAGAGCTTCGGTTATGTTATGAACATAATACAGTCGAGCTCGGTTATGTTATGAACATAATACAGGTTTTGCAAACCGTGCGTTCCGTTAAGCGCGGACAAGTTGCTTATGTGGAGCTAGCGAATTGATCACTTCTACAGGAAAGAATTACCTATTTAATCTCCGCCTTTTTTCGGCTTTTTATTAGCCACAACAATTTCTAAAGGGGATGAAATTATGTCAAGGTAGTGCAGAGAAATCATTTGTAAACCGGTAGAGCTTCTGCGTTTAGCATTGCTTTCACGGTAGCACCAGAGAGCTTGCTCAGACATTTGTGAAGTATCCGGCTGATCCCGGTCATGGATAAGTGAAGCGATCACTAACTGTAGTGGCTACAATCGGGCAACGTTGTGATGAAACTGCCACATTGATGCTTACCGAAGTAACACAAGCATACCGATCAGAATTACTGCATCTAAGTTAACCAGGAGCATTTTTAATTAGCACGACACGCAAACTAACATGCAGTAGCTGGTAACCGAGCGGTCATAACCACAGAGACAAACCCTTGCAATACAGGTTTTACAGACAGCAAGTTCTGTTACTGTGAACAGTTGTACCAAGCATCCAAATTACAAACAAGTATTAAAAGTTAGCTTCAAATGAGGTTTATGCTCACACACCTTCTGTAGAATTTCCCCTGATATTACTCTTGCATATTTAGAACACAAACATTAGCAACAGTAACTTGGCTACGTTAGCCGCTGTGCTACAGCCACAATCAACTGGCTATCACGTCAGGTTGGCTTATGCAGTAAAAGCAACTTACAGCTTCTGTGTATGTGAGTCATGGACAGTCGCGACCGATACAGGCTTTATCTTCAGATATTTTACCAAGCCTGCGTTTGAGGCCAGTTGTTAGTGCTAACTATCGCTAGCGGTCCTGCTAGCCACCCGTAACACGTTAGCTTCACTTACATTATTTGCTGTTATATCGTTACTTACAGCGTGTGGCTCCGACCGCTTGATCGCTGCAACTGCTTCAGGTTTGAGAAGCAGCTGAAACGCTTATCCTGTGTCGAATTATCCTTTATTGATAAAGCTGTCTTTGGTGAAATGCTGAGCACAATCAGCTAACGTTCCCTTTGGCCGTGGCTTTTTGCTGCCAGCAAACAAAAAAAGCTACCCACTGATTTCTGGTGGCATCGTCTTTTGGAAGAAAAATCGTTGTTTTTCTTCATGTCCAAAAGTAAACGGACAAGCAGCTTTTTGAGAGATACTGACAAAATTGCAGCTCAAATGATCTGCGGTTCTTCTTTTGTATTTCCAAAAGTGAAGATGCTACTAAGGCATAGTATGATCTGCCGTTGTTAGTGCCTGCTAGAATAGTTTCCGGTGTGGGCAGGTCCAGCGCCATGATTGGCTCTGGCTAGGTCTGTACTAATTGGATGGCACAACCTGACGTCAGGTTTTACCCAGATCTCGTGAAGATCTCGGGAGGAGCTGTTTAGAGAGGAAATCACGCTCACGAAATCACGTTCTTGGATTACGGCAAAACCCCTGTATCTTATGTTTAGAAACTTTTCAGAGGTTGAGCATGGACAACCAACATTATAACATTACTAATATGTATTAAAAGAAGGATCAGCATAATAGGTCCCCTTTAACATCAGGGGTGCTAATAATTGTGGCACACATGATTTGATGTAAAAGAATTATTTCTTAATGTGGGATTTTTTTCCTACTGAATAAATGCACTTAAATTAAAGGCTGGATTTTCCTCTTTTTTTCCCATTGTGGTCCTATATTATTTAGAAAAAAACTGAATTTATTAGAAGCTAAAGAACACATCTTAACCAGGGGTGCCAATAATTATGGAGGGCGCTGTACATACTTAGCTAGGGAAGGAAAGCTTCTGCTAACACATCCGAGAAACTGTTGCTCATATTTAGCAGCCAGTGGCATTAATAGGAGCAAAGGACAAGTGTGCAGCCCGACACCGTGATTGAAATACGCAGGGCTTCAATAACCAGGTGATGGTGCTAAAGTGGGTTTATCTTCATCCATTTACTATATAAAATGCCTTGAGGGTTCCCCATTTCACCCTAAATTCAGTTCCTGGTGCCAAGAGAAATTGCAAACCAAATCAAATATTTTTCAAATGAAACATCAAACTGAAATCTTAAAGAATTAGGCAACAAAAGCACTTCCAACGGCAGAGTACAGCCAAGTAATTTTATTATAAAACTAAACATTCTGGACTATTTATAAATGTTCCCTCACAAAGGGTGACCGTGAACATGTTGCCAGTGCAGCGCAGGAGAAGCGAGGTAGTTCTGTTGGTTTAAATTGCCTATACAGTCCTGCGCAAAATCTCTGTGAGCCCCCTGAATCAAATCCTCAGCCCATTCTCCACAAACAACTATGTGAATTCACTCAAATTTATCACTAATTTGCTTGTAAACGGAAAGAACTGTGAATGCAAGAGACCACCAGGTAGATGGATTGTATCTTTATAATTTTACCTTTGGTCTGATTTATTTCATTAGAAACTGAATATGGACATGAAATCTAGCGTTGAGATGACCTGAGCAAGAGCAAGAGTAACTATGGCACAATAAAAATGACAAATGAACAAATGAAACAGTGCTGCTTAAAAGTGCAGTTAAACCTGGTACTGTTTGCGAACAATATGAGTGCGTTCCTGTGGCATTCTCTAGCAACCATCCTGCCAAGTTCAAAATGTATGGTGTGTCAACAAGACACAGCCCGATGCAAAAAAAAAAAAAAAAAAACCAGTCCAAAAATAGGAAAATAAAAGTACAATGTGTACATGGTAAGCTTCCCAGTGTAATTGTTATACGGTGCATGTTGCCCGAAAGCTATGATTTCCAGCGTGAACCATAAGTGCACTTTCCTATTCTCACCTATTATTATTATTGCGGACACCTTCCTCAGTTCAATCGGCGGAAATATAGTGACATGGGCCAGCTCCATGGTTACACTACAGGTGTCCCTGGTTTCAGTTGATTTATTTAATTTCTGTTCTGTCCGTCGCGGTCTCTGAAGTCATGAAAATGGCATAGCAGAAATGGTCACCTCGTTTCTCAAAATTAAAATTAGCCTGATGTTTGAACACATGCATCATCGGCCCCAATTACAAGTATCTCATATTATATTACAAATTCAAATAGCGAGAAAAATTTCAGGAATTGGCAGCTAGCGAATATGTCTAGGGTATCATTAATATCGCAAGACTTTTAAGTCAGTAAGCTAATCAAATGGACAACTTTGCCATGGCGTCACATAATTATGATTTAATGCACTACTAATGACTCCAGATACCTTCAGAGAGTCAATAACCATGTCAGCCAAAAATGATCAATGAAAAAGGATTACGGTCATTCATTAAGGATATAACTTTTGAACTTTTATTGGATAAAGGTAATACTCATAAATGCAAGTTGGGTAAACTGAACGATTGAGGTAAACAAAGTACACAAAACTACCAATCAAAGAGGGAGATACAGGAAGAATGATGCCCTGAACTCCAAGCGATAGTCAAAATATATCATGATTTTTTTTTTTTTTTTAGATACACTTTATTGAACCCCGTGGGGTAATTTGTCCTCTGCATTTGACCCATCCTATAGTTAGGAGCAGTGGGCAGCCACAGAGCAGTGCCCAGGGTACTGGAGTGTTCCTATGATGCATGTTTTTGTAGGTGGGGGAAACCGGAGTACCCAGAGAAAACCCATGCGAACACAGGGAGAACATGCAAACTCCACACAGAAAGGCCCTAAGCCGGATTCGAACCCACAACCTTTTCGCTGAGAGGCAACAGTGCTAACCACTATGCCACCGTGCCGCCCACTGATGTAACCAATGCAAAAACTACCAAATTATGATCGCTCAAGGTAAGTGATGTAACAGAAAATCTGACTGTAAAATGGTGCTGGGCTCTAAACTCTCACAGATTACCCACGTACTGTAACACTCGAAAAATGAAGACAGATTAAAAATGAGAGTCAGACTTTAACAGCATGAGTCTAGAGAATTTGTTTCAAGTGATTATTTTCAGTACCTCCCAAATTTTCTCAAAATTGCCCAGAGAATAATTGTGTAGAGACGATTATGATATTAAATAGTTATTTATGTGGTCTCATAATTACACACAGAATGTTTCCATAATTTCGTAATCACCTCGACTGCACATTATTCTGAACCTACAGTATGCGCTGGTCTGCCAGACTGTGACAAAAGGAAGCAATGACATACATGTCTAATGTGACTTAATTCCTTTTGACAAAGTTGGGCAGTGATCATATAGTATTCCATACGTGATATGTGGTCAGAAAACAAAAACAAAACTAAAAAACGCTTAAAACAGCAAGTATAAATTTGACACGCAATAATTCTGCATTTATCAAGACAGCTTACAATGAATCTTATATAAGCAAGCAAGTAAAATGCAGATTGCGTGCAGAATGTTTTCGAAGACCCATCACTGATCACATGACCTGTTACGGGTTGCACACCAATGATGTCATTCCAATGATGACTGAATGCGTAAAAATAAAAAAAATGCTTTGCGCAATACCCTACTGTTGTATCACTATGGAAAATTCTTCAAGAAATTTAAAGTCAGCATGATGTTTACAGTTTTTACAATGCCCCTCAAAAAGCATCAGTACAGTGTCTGTGCTGAGATCTTGCATTTCAAGTTTCAGCCAAAATGATCAATTTTAAAGGAGGAGCTGAAACAATTTTATAATGGGATACAACACTCAATTATGTCATCATTCTAGGCCAAAGGTACCAAATGTATATTTGATTTCTAAAGGTTTGCTCGCTTATCAAAATTCCAACATGTCAAAAGCGCCATTCTAGACATCCGCTGACAGTCAAAAATAAAATCAACAAACAATTTGAAAAGAGTGACTAGAATAAACATGGGAATTCAATTTCATGAACTCAATAGAAAATCATTTTTCCATGCTTGCTCGCTATCCAGCAGTGATTGTGAGAGACTTTCATTTCAGTTTTTTGAATTCTAAACCCAGAGCCACCTTGTCATTGCTTTGGCAAAAAAAGGTCTGCCGAATAAATGCAAAGTCACACTGTTAGCCTGAAGCTCTTGAACCCTGACAGATGCCAAGACCTTATATCCAGCCCTGGCAGATGTTTGGCCCGAATGTGGCCACACTGCCCCGCCCAAAAAAAAAAAAATTCCCAGAGCTGTGTACCAAAGTAAATTTGCATATGTGAACGCATCAAGTAAAAATTGACATTTCGTGACACTTTGTGATTTTGAAATAAAGGATGTTAAAGTTGGGCACTTCATACTTGATCTGCAGTAGCAGTTCACTTTTTACATGATTCAGTTGAAACTAATAGGTGAATCACTCTAATATTTTGACATCAAATACTTTATAGGTACATACAACTAACTATAGCAAAAAGTCAAAAAAGTCCAAGTGTCATGAAATGTCAAGTTTTCCTTGATGGGTTCACACACACATTAGTCAAACAGGTGACATAATGCCCTCGCTGATTACTTCTCAACTGTAGAAGTGAATGTGACCGGGGTCGTGACCCTCGTCTCTCACCTCGTTAAAGCGAGCCACCAGGTCCTCCACGCCATTGCGCTGGCAGCTCCGGGTGGACATGGCGGGCGCGGACAGGGAGGCCTTCAGGTTGGGGTGGCGTCGGTGGCACTCGGGGGTGCCCAGGTCGCGGGTGAGGAAGCAGAGATAGTCGAGGGGGAAGACGCGCTGGTACAGCTGCTGCTCCTGTTCTGTCAGGATGCTGGCGATCTCCTCGGGGAACTGCACCAGGTGCTGCAGGTCCGCCAGTTCCTTGCTGATGCCCGCCACGCTCACGGGCATGATGCCCGACGCCGCCACGGCGCCGCACAGCTGTCGTTCTGCAGGCAAACAAATCAGGGTGGGAGCAGGTCAGCAGAACAAAGTAAATGTGCAGGTCCGTCATGAACAACACGTGGAATGCCTGCATGACTCCCCTCAAATACTTAGTCTAATATTGAAGAATGTTTTAAATACCCAAGTTTTCATGAAAAAATGGAGAAAAAGTTGCGCTGCAAAAGGGTGGAATGCCACAGGGAGTGCCGACCACAAAATGGAACAAATAGTGTGGTACTCTCAACACAGAGAATGGTCGCACATCCAAATTAAACAAATCAGACGGAATATAGATATAACATTTATTATCAGGCAAGCACTTAGGTGCTTGCCTGATAATAAATGGTATATCTACAACCCCAATTCCGAAATAGTTGGGACAAAGTGTAAATAGTTAATAAAATCTAATCGCAATGACTTTCAAATCACTCCAGCCAGTATTTTATTCACAATAGAACAGAGATAACATAGCAAATGTTGAAACTGAGAAATTTTAAAATTTTATGGCTGCTTCAGGTCTCAAAAAAGTTGGGACAGGGGCCTGTTTACCATGGTGTAGCGTCCTGTCTTCTTTTTAACACAGAATGGAGGCGTCTGGGCATTGAGGAGACATGTTTCTTGAGTTTAGCCACTGGAATTTGATCCCACTCTTATTTAATACAGGCTTCCAGCTGCTGGAGAGTTTTGGGTCTCCTTTGACGGACTTTCGTTTGATTATGCGCCAAATGTCCTCAATTGGTGAAAGATCAGGACTGCAGGCAGGCCAGTTCAGCACACAGACTCTTATACTATGAAGCCATGCTGTTGTAATAGCTGCAGTATGTGGTTTTGCATTGTCCTGCTGAAATACACAAGGCCTTCCCTGGAATAGATGTCATCTGGAGGGGAGCATATGTTGCTCTAAAACCTTTGTATACCTTTTAGCATTCATGGTGCTTTTTAAAACATGCAAGTGTCCCACACCATATGCACTAACGCATATGGCTTTTGAACTGAACGCTGATAACAGGAGGGGTGGTCTTTCTCCTCTTTAGCCCGGAGGACAAGACGCCCATGATTTCCAACAAGAATGTCAAATTTGGACTCGTCTGACCACAGGACACTTTGCCGCTTTGCTACAGTCCATTTTTAATGAGCCTTAGCCCACAGAACATGGCGGCGCTTCTGGATCATGCTCAACAATGGCTTCCTTTTTGCATGATAGAGTTTTAGGTGGCATCTGTGGATGGCACGGCAGACTGTGTTTACAGACAGTGGTTTCTTGAAGTAATCCTGGGCCCATTTAGTAATGTCAATGACAGAATCATGCCGGTGAGTGATGCAGTGGCGTCTGAGGGCCTGAAGATCACAGGCATCCAGTAAAGGTCTTCCGCCTTGTCCCTTACGCACAGAGATTTTTCCAGTTTCTCTGAATCTTTTGATGATGTTATGCACTGTCGATGATGAGACCTTCAAAGCCTTTGCAATTTGACGTTGAGGAACATTGTTTTAAAGTATTCCACAATTTTTTTACGCAAGCCTTCACAGGTTGGAGAGCCTCTGGCCATCTTTACTTCTGAGAGACTCAGCCTCTCTCAGACATCCCTTTTATAGCCAATCATGTAACACACCTGATGTCAGTTACCTTAATTACTTGCTAAATGTTTTTTCAGCTGATTCTCTTATGTATTAATTGCTTTTTCAGCCCTTTTTTGCCTGTGTCCCAACTTTTTTGAGACCTGTTGCAGCCATAAAATTTGAAATAAGCTAATTTTGTGGATAAAAATGTAACATGTCTCGGTTTCAACATTTGAAATGTTATCTATGTTCTACTGTAAATAACATTGGCCCATGTGATCTGAAAGTCATTGCATTTTGATTTTATTCACAATTTACACTTCGTCCCAACTATTTCTGAATTGGGGTTGTATTCCGTCTGATTTGTTTAATTTGGACGTGTGACCATTCTCTGTGTTCTGTATTCTCATGTTTTCATGTTTGTACCTTTACACATGTCTGCATGTGTCATGCATGCGTGTGCAAGTGTTCGCAAAATTAATCATTTATCGTAAGTATGTGCACATACACTGCAAACTTTCCCATCAAAACTACTGTCACATCAGACACAAATGGTGAGCATTTATGAAGTAGAGGCTAACTACATGCGCGAACCAAACACAGCTTCTGACTCCGGAATGGGTCTGACTGATGAAAAGACGCTGTAGATGAAACTATACTGCTAAGTAAGGAAGAGGTGTTGACAAAGAGCTGGATATTTTTTATACTCTTAACCTCTTAACTGTCACCTGCATTTTCTCAAATTTGGCCCAGATTGGTATACCACATTTCAAAAGCTCACTGCTCCCACATACAATGGTTCTATTACACAAAATACTGTGTGTCTGTTGTTGCTGTTATGAGTATTTGCATAAAATATACGGCTTAATCTTCAATTTTGGGACAAACAACGTGGATATCTTGATTGCACAGGTTCTTAGCTTTTGAACAAGACCAAATAGAACGGACAATACATGGTTTGACCGTCACAACACAACTTTGATGATGAGGACTGACAAGTTTCATTGCACTCAAGTATGTGGTGTCTATGTTGAGAAATTGATTTATTGTATTTGTTATGACTGACATCGGGCAAAAAGGTGGGTAGAAATGAAATCCTGAGTGTCTAAGCTTTCAAACGGTATATCGTTTGCCTGGATTGGTTGAGGATTTAAGTCATAATTTACAAATGAAGCATTCAAAATTTGTTTGAAAATTCCGTAGGGCCCTAATTAGGGCCCAGTGACAGTTAACAGGTTAACTGCTATCCTGAGAAATGTAGAATTAAAGTTGCGTATGACAGGCATCAAGGAATCTAAAAACTACTGAATCCTCAAGATAGAAACTAAATTTTGGGCAGGGTGAGGAGATGAGAGCACTGGACTGTGGAACTTCATGCTAGTGCGAATCA